ACCATGTTATGCTTTCATCAGCAATGAATAACAGTTGCAGATTTGTCTATCAGAAGTAGTTTTTATTCCACCTTCAATTCTGAAAGACAATTTTACTAGATACAGAATTCTGTGTTAACAGTTTTCTGGTCTTGTTTTGCAAGAGGTTGCTCCATTTTCTTCTGAGCTGCCTAGTTTTTGATAAGAAGCCTGTTGTAACTCTTATCCTTGGTCCTCTGGAAGTAATATTTTGCCCCTCTGTGGCAGCCTTCAAGATTCCTGCTCAACTCTGTTTCTCAGCCATTTGACAATAATGTTTTTGGGGTGTGTGTTTGTTTTATTCTAGATTGGGGTTCTCTGAACTTCTTGCATCTGTGGTTGCCTTTAATTTTGGAAATTTCTTGGCCATTATGTCTTCCCATATTTATTGTCCTGTGCTCTCTCTCTTCTCCCTCTGGGACTAACTCCACGCACGTTATGTTGTTTGCTTTTGTTTCCCAACCTTGGCTTTCTTCTGCTCCTCCCAACTCCTCTTGCACCACCCTTTTCCCCTTTGTGTTTCAGTTTGGGTAATTTCCATTGACCTCTCTTCAAGGTCACTGATTTTTTTTTTCCCTCAGCTATGCCCAGTCTGCTGATAACCCCATCAAAGGAATTTTTCTTCCCTGATACTATGTTTTTATTTCAAGCATTTCCAATTGATTCTTTTCTTTTCTAGTTTGCATCTTTCTGCTTAACTTCTTCATTTGTCCATGCATGTTGTTCACTTTCCAATAATTCCTTTAACATATCCGTCACAGCTGTTGTAAAGTCCCTGTCAGATACTTGCAGTATCTGGGTCATCTGTGGATCTGATTTTGTACAATGTTTTATCTCTTAACAATGGGTCTGGTGTTCTGTTTTTGCCCCCCCCCACCCCATTTTGTGTGTGTATGTGTGCTTGTTTTTGGTTGAATGCCAGATATCATAGAACAATATTTAAGACACAAAACTCTGCACCCAAAACCAGATATTCCTCTTCTTCCGAGCCATGAATGAGGATGGGGTGGAGTGGAGTCAGTCTAGTGAGTCCTTGAGCTAGGTGTTGGTCTAATTGTTGCTGCTGTTACCTTCATTGGACCACAGGCTCTGGATTCCTCTAGAGGCGGCTGCAGTTACTGTGCACTTAGTGTGCAGCCTGGAGTTTCTCTGGGTCCTGCTCTGCCCTCTGCTTTCAACATCCTGTGTATGCCTGTGGCACACGCGTGCTCAGCCTGCGGGGGGGAAAACTGCTCATACCTGTGGTGGCTCTCAAGAGAATCCTAACGTTGCCACCGCCCACCCACACTGCCTGTGCTTTTCACTGGTGTGGGTTCTTGGGCCCAAGAGGCTTCCCCAGGGACATGGGGCTTTGTTTATACCCCTCCTCCAGAGACCGTGGGCTCACGCCAGGCCCTGGGGACAGCAGTATGTGGTGCCCTTCCCCAGTGGCTGGAGGCTTCTGCTTAATCTGGGAGAAGCAAAGCAGGCCGTGCTGTTGTAGGTGCCCCGGGGGGCAGCTGGCCGTGCCCCTCACCACCAAAGGGGCTCACCTGTGGACCTGCTCCACCTGCAGTGTTTCTCGTGAGAACAGAAGAGCCACCGGGGAGACCGCATCTGTGGGGTTCCCTTGCTGGGAGGGGGTGGGACCCCAGACGGCTCCAAAGTCCTCTAGGCATCCTGCGTGTCCTACTCTCAATGTCACAGTCCCAGTGTCCCAGCCTGGGCTCTTCCCTGTGTGTGGTCCGGCGCTTCCCCTGAGTTACTGGGCTCCTCCCGTAGGCACCCCCCGCTGTCCCCAGAGCTGGTCCTCCCGAGCTCAGGCGAGCAGCCCTCACCTGGACCCTCCTCCGTGCAGGCGCCTCCTCGGACGAGCTGCAGGAGGTCCAGATCCCTCTGATCCCGATGAACTTGTGCCAGTTCCTCTACGGCCACCCATCCTTCATCCTGCCGAGCATGCTGTGTGCCGGGGACATCTTGAATTCAAAGACTGCATGTGAGGTGTGCCCCAACAGATGGGTGAGAGAGGCCAGGGGTGCCCAGCCCAGGCAACTCAGGTGCGGGCTGTGGGCAGGGGCCTTGCAGCTGAACCTGTGCTGCTGCAGGAGGAGGCATGGATGCCACACACCTGCCACACACCTGCCTCACACCTGCCGCACACCTGCAGCAGCCCTCGCCCTGTGGCTCTGGGCCATGCTGCAGCCAGGGAGAAGGCTGTGTGAGTGGGGAGCACTGGCCCACCCCCATGCAGCAGGGCCTGGACTCCCAAGTTCACAGAAGACCCCCTCTTCCTTTCCAGGGGGACTCTGGGGGCCCACTGGTCTGTGAATTCAACCACACCTGGTTGCAGATTGGAGTCGTGAGCTGGGGCCGCGGCTGCGCCAACCCTCTGTACCCTGCAGTGTATGCCCGAGTGTCCTACTTTGCCAATTGGATATCTGAGGTTGTGAAAATGACACCCCTTCCTCGTCAGCCCGTACCCTCCCTGTCCCCAGCTCTGGGGGCCACCCTCACTGTCCTTGTGGCCACGCTGGCCGGCCCGCCAGTGTTGTGAGGGCCGGGACACCCCCTCCCGGCACCCCCAGGGGCGGCACACTCTGCCCGGCCCAGTGCTGCCCCGAGTGCCGGCACCCGCCTCGGGCCCCGGCCTGGCCCCGGGGAGGGCCACCCGTCTGCACCCCAGGCAGTCTACACACCCAAAGAGAGGCAGTGACAAAATAGAAAAAACTTCGTGCATTATCTCT